GCGCGCCTTCCAGCTTCCGCGGTCCGTCCTGCAACGCGCGCGGATATCAGTACAGTAAAGAAGCAGCCACGATGCCCGCTACAGCGAGTCAAGTATTGCTAAAGAGAATATCACTGGAGAGATCGATGATGCCGGAGTGACGCAACAAGTTTACGATAATCAGAACCTTGTCGTATGGCTCTACTAGGTACTACCTAGGTACTACTACTACTACTTAATCTTAACACTTAAGTATGCAGGCAACTCTTTTTCCACAAAGTAGCTGCGGCTGATAGTACATTGGGTGCGTCTTCGCGACCATTAGGGTTCACTTATCATGGCTCGAAGAAGAACGAGAACTCGCCGGTCCAAAAATTGGTTAAAAACAGCTATCAAGAGTCGTGCTCGCGGATGCTAAAACATCTCGCTTTCTCCCTAAATCTGGTCAAGCTTTAGATGCTAGCTGAACTGGTGATATATTCCGAGTTCTTTCGGTGTGTGATTGATAGATACTAGTACGCCACTCCCTTTTCTCATCGCATTGGGCTGGAACTCGCACCTGAGACAGCATTTGGGGGACGGTACTATCAACGCGACGACGAAACACTGAAAAAGTCTCAGTGCGACCCTGCGTGGAGAGCGTTTTGGAAAGAGAAAACTAAGTCGTTCTAGAGGCAGCAAAAACGACAGATTTTGTTCGAACACGAAGGGGACGAAAAGGTCTGTGAGTCTCGACGGTACGTTGACGTGATTGGAATTAAACCCTTCGCGAGGGCCGTGGTCTTGCAAGTCGCTTCCGCTCTGTGTCTGACCAGAGCACTCTACTACCATTTCTGATGGATGCCTCAACAGTAGTCTCGAGATGCTCAAACTTAAGAAATGGAATCTCCAGGCTCGGCAACGGATGCTATCTTCCAGCGGGATCAGTTCCCCTGGATTATTCAAGGATCGCAATCCTATTGGCGCGTTGATCACTGGAAGTCGTGGGATGAGGTGCAAGATCCCTGGAAAGACCTAGCTGGGCAATATTTGAAAGTTCTACTCCTCGACTAGCATGATTGGAAGAAACCCCGATTGCCATGGGAGTGTTATTACGACGGAGAACTGTAAGGTAGGTACAGACGCGAGTCGTGAACAGCGTCTACATAGGCTCAGTCGCCAAAAGACTCATGGGACTCAGGCGCCATAGTCACAAGGATTGTGCGCCGTCGTTAGTCGCGAGGCGCTTTCTATTCTGATACGTCGCTATGTCACCACGGCTGCTGTGACATGAGCATCTTCTAGCTGAGAAGCAACGCGTTCATCGAGACCCACCATGTGCAGAACAACGGGATGCCGATGTACGAATACATCTTGTCGTACTGCCGTGTTATCCAAATCTCAAGTACCAAGCTTTTTGTAGGGGTTGCCGAGATATCAGAATACCCGGTGGCACTGATGCTGTTCTATCCCTTTATGGCTGGGCTACCGGCAGGACTAACGCCAACAGAACGCAGCTGTTGGTAGCTTCTTCTTCTAGTAATCCTCTAACGAGATTGTGGCTCGAGGATGCAAGCAACCGCAACGATTGTTCGGGCACCTATGCAGGGCAAAAGGGATGGAACCACAACAGGCTCGTATAGACGTCTCCACCGTAAGCGATGCTGACGCCCAGGTGAACGATCAAATTTAACGTGTTCGTATACTGCATGTATTAAAGCTGTCCCCTCTTGCTGCAATGTGATACCCCAGGTACCCCTAAAAGGCCCATCACGTTCTTTTTGCAGCTCCAGCCCTACCTGCGGTCTCCACCTCCACACTCTCTAATCGCTGTACATTACTATACAAACATAATCCTTAATCATGTCGTTCAGTATTCGCAACACCATCGCCCTGGGCGCCTTCTCCGCCCTCGCTGCTGCGCAAACCGTGCCCCCGAAGCTCGACGCAACTTGTGCCGATGTGGTCATATTCATGGCTCGTGGCAACGACGCCCCATACCATGACGGTCGCACTTTCCCCTTCGTCGAAGCCACCTGCGGCAAGTTGACTGCTCAGGGCAAGAGCTGCGACTACATTGACATCCAGTTTGATGTAACCCTTGGTGGAGACTACTGCAACCAAGTTGCCGAGGGCGCTCGCAATGGTATCTCTCAGATCACCGCCTTCAACGAGAAGTGCCCTTGCTCGCACATTGTGGTGAATGGGTACTCTGAGGGAGCTCACGTGGCCGGAGATGTGCTTGGAGGACCGGTAAGCATCACGCGAGAACCGGGCACCCGTGAGGCATGTGCTAACTACGTACTGCAATATAGGGTGGATGCACATTCGTCTCGACCGGCCTAGACAACAACTCTGCTGCAGGCAAAGCGGGTAAGCGACTTCGACGATATTACGGCAATGTCCTTCCTAACATGTTTCAGTCGCCGCGGCTCTCCTCTGGGGAGACGTGATGCATACCGCCAACCAGCCCTACAATGTGCTTGACGGTGCCGACAAGCAGTCCAACGGGCGTAAGCCGGAGGATCTCGCTCGCCTCAATCGCTACGCACCCGTCCTTCGCTCCTACTGTGCTGCCGGCGACCCAGTCTGCGCCGGCGGAAACGTTGTGGCCGACCACTTGAACTACTTTGAGCTCTACACCGACGATGCTTCTTCCTGGGTCGTCTCCAAGATCGACAGCGTCGCACCTCTGGCGTCGTGCGGTGCCACCAGCTCATCATCCTCTGCTGCCGCCTCTTCCGCTACCAGTGCGGCCGTCACCCAGTCTTCTGCCGTCGTTCCTACCTCGTCTGCCGTGGTCACTGCGTCTGCTACACCTACTAAGGCTGAGTCTTCTGCTGCTGAGACGCCTTGCTCAACCTCTCCGGCAATGGTTTCTCCCTTCCCTGAGCCTGTCCCCTACAAGCCCGATGCCTGCGTCCTTGAAGTTCACGTAGAGTATGCCTACGTATAGTTTGAGCAAGATGGAGCCGAAGGAGCAAGTACCACCACTACAGTGCAATGCGAAAAGCTGTCAGCAGCGACAGTATTGCAACAATATATAAGACGTGTTGCCACCTTCAAAGTCTTGTTCCTCTAGCTCTCCTCTTGTACAGTGACCGTGTTGTAGCCGCATCATTCGATGTTCCCGAGGTCCGATCTGTTTGTTAAGGCCACTTCAATCTGGACGGAAGCTAGGAGTATCATTTAAGTTGCATCCCGAAATGAATTTGGAAACACTAAGCGAGTAAACGACGGGAACGTTGCGGATCGCCGGTATTAGCTCAACGTATTGAGCTACGACTTTTCCATGTTCCAAGCCTGTCGATACGCGATGGAAGATGACGCCTGTGAGCCTGTGGAGAAGTAGGTGAAACGGTTTTGTACTTTATTAAATAGATCCCTACACTGCGCTATGTGAACTGTGGTTCCTGTCCGTCTGTTGGGCCGATAGGCGGTCGTCACGCAAGTCGAACATGACCAATGCTGACGACCTTGGAGCGAATTGTGGCTGTCTTGGCATTCCCGCGGAGTTCATAGGTATGCACGTCACCTTCCCCATCTCATCGCCAAACCTCGCCCAAACCTCACCCAAACACCGCATCAACGCCGCCATGTACCGGATACGACCGCGATTCGTACCCATTCGCGCTCTACCGCGCACGTCTCAACCCTCATTCCAGCATGTCCGTAGCCTTCCACAATCCCGTGCCTACCAGCAACTCGGTCGCAGTGGCCAGCAATACAAACGGTTCAACTCTCCCTCAGGTGGCCTCTCCGGTCTCCTATTTCGCTGGGCTGCGCGCCCAACGTTTTACCGTGACGTCGGTCTGATCAGTGTGGGCACTGGCGGCGTCTACCTGTACAATCTCGAAGAAGTGCCCGTCTCTGGTCGCCGCCGCTTCAACATTATCTCGCCTGGCATCGAAGAAGCGCTGGGACGGTCATCCGTAGAGCAAGTGCGGCAAGAGTACCAAGGCAGGATACTACCGGATAGCGATTTGCGGGTGAAGCAGGTGAAGAGGGTTTTGGAGCGTTTGTTGCCGTATGCCGAGGGCGAAGGGTTGAAAGACTTGCAGTGGGAGGTCACCGTCATCGAGTCTCCGGAACAGAACGCGTTTGTAGCGCCGGGGGGCAAGGTCTTTGTGTTTACGGGGATCCTGCCTCTGTGCAAGGATGAGGATGGCATTGCAGCCGTGCTGGGACATGAGATTGCGCACGTGGTTGCGCATCACACTGCGTTGGTACTCTTATCTCGGACCGATGAAGCATGCACTGACCAAAGAACAGTGAACGCATGTCTCAAGCGCCTCTGATCCTCCTCGGTGTTCTCGCCCTATCTCTCTTCGATGTCTCCTTTTACTCGGGCAAAATGCTCCTCGACCTCTTCCTCTCCATGCCCGCCTCCCGCAAGCACGAAGCTGAAGCCGATTACATTGGTCTCTTGATGATGGCGCAGGGCTGCTACCGACCAGAAGCTGCAATGCAGTTCTGGACGCGCATGGAGAAGGCTGGTGGGGCAGGGCCGCCGCAGATACTGAGCACGCACCCGAGTCACCACAACAGGGAAGAGAAGATTAGGGAGTGGCTGCCCAAAGCGATGGAGAAAGCTGAGGCGAGCGAATGCGCTGTCACGGGTGGGTACGGTAAGTGAACGCACGCATACGGTGTGATGATGAGGATCGTGACTGACGCGACCCAGCTACTCAATTCAGCTCCGCGTTCGATAGCTTCGGACGCTGGTGAAGCGTCGGAAGCCCTTTGACGGTAGAAGACTTGTACTAACACCCTGTATACCACCTGATGACTACACTAACATGATGCACCACGAGACGAAAGAAATGAAGGTCCCATCCCTGAACCATCCCAGATAGTCTTGGATGTGAGTAGATATGAGATGAATTGATGATTTACTCTAACATGAGATGAGAACTGCCTATAAAGGCAAGCATGCTTGCTGCAAACAGTTGCAAGCAAGCATCGGTACGTACATAAGGTACATGCCAGCAAACCAACAGATAGTGCGCTATGGGCCACAGGGCAAACATTGTAACGTAATGTCATAATTTCTTATACTCTATTAGCCTCGGCACCCCGGTTCGAGACAGAACATGAACATCCGCCGTCCTTGCGACCCCTATACTCGGTCTACCTACTGATTCTCTCTCCTCGACCTCCGACGCGGTATCTTCGAAGTAACTATTCCCCATATCCATAGCCTTTCCCATTTCAATCTCCGTAACGGTCAATCTCCTCTCCACATCGAAATCGAATGCGCCATTCTTCTCTTCGGGTAATGCAAAGTCCCATGGCGATTTCTCGATATCGTCCTCGTCGTCCATGCTGACCAGGTTCTTTTCTCCCCAACTCCCGCGGTATCCTGGTAGAGTGGGTACCTCGGAAGGTGTGGTGGCTCGAGCGGGACAGTGGAAAACATGTTTGAGTAAAGGGGACAGTGAGGGAAGAGAGGCGGCCAGAATGCCAATGTCAACCTCGATTTGGGACCATACTGGAACCCAAGACCAGCCCCTGTGGTTCATTTGTCAGAAAATGCTACTAGTAAAGAGAACGGGCTAGGCGAAGGCGTACCAGCTGAAATCGACTTCTTGCCATGTACTTCCTGGTCTGATGGGACTGTCCGACATGACAATCTCGCAAAGGCGCATGGTGCTGGCTATGACCGGGATGACGCCGATAGAGAGAATGACTGCTAGAGCCGCTGAAGGGACGGTCAACAATGAGCATTCATAGAGACATAAAGACGTCGACTTACTCCTTTGTCTCTTGTTGAATTTGATCACCCATATCAAAGGCAACGGGAAGATCAACAAGACAATATCAGTGACGACATTGATGGCACCCGAAATGACCATGAACATGGCAGCATTAATGCATCCATCGGGTTGGGCTTCGATATCCCAGACACGTGATACTGGTGTGCAGATGAACAATTGAGCCTTCGGACGTTGTCAGTTGTGCATCTCGTACAGACAGACGGGCATGATACTCACAAGGAAGACGGAAAAACTAAAGGCAGTCATAAAGCCGGCCGCTGTCCATACAGCAGGTGACTGCACGATCCATGGCAGGCCCTGTTTTCCATAGCCGATTCGGTAGTACAGAGATAGGATGCTCATCTTGACAGCCCTGCAATAAAGTTAATCTTGGAAGCTGATGTCGAGAGCGATGTTGCAGCATACCAATTTGCGACAAAGTAGATGAGCATATTGATCCATTGGTACTAGTCCACTGTCAGTACTAAGTCGAGTGTCACAAGGTGTGTTGAACATACCATGAGCATTTCGTCGAATTGCTCCACGTGAAGCTCTGATGCATGTCGTCCCTGGCCATGCTCGATTTGTAATATGATGGTGACTGTCTGTGCGGCTCCGAGGGTAACGGCGATGGCGATGAAGAGATCGTCTAGGCCGAATTTCTTGACAACGTATCCGCGCGTGAAGCATCTACATTTTGTTAGCAATACGACATTTGCTCGTGGCGAAGATGGGTGCTTGCCGAAGAGCCACAAACGCCACAGCGACGGTATACATGGCCATACTGACTCGGCCTATGACGGGCCCTTGGTCACGCCCGTTCGCGACGTATACGATGTGCCCCATTACGAGTTCGGTACCTGGTTGAGCTATACGATGTCCGAAGGTTTGACATGGGGCTACGAGAGTTGATGCTACGACGGCGCAAGGTTTCCAAACGCCCGACTGGAGAAGAGGAAGCGAAAAGCAAAGTGAAGGATGATGGCCAGACTAGAGGCTGGCAGACGGGACCTACACACATCTAATACATCGTGGACGAGTTACGACACCCAAAGTGCGACAGGGCGATGGGCACGTTGCAAGACTCGGCACGGCATTATTGAGGCGGCGCTGGTTGAAACTAAGATTGCCTTCCAGAAGCACATCAAACGGTGCACAAAGAGCCACGCGGCCTGTGCATGCCTCTTGTCGGCATCGGCACTGTGGGTTGTCGCGTGGTCATGGTGCGGCAAGCCCTGTCGCAGCGCGCATCTCGAAACCTTGTTTGGAGCCACGATCCCGGCACAATGGTATCGGAGGTTTGTGGGAGAACATGGCCTCGGGTTGCGTGGGCGGGAGGCTGAACGAATGGTTCGAGTGTTTCTGAGGTACACGGTGATTGGCCGCGCGCGTGCACCAGGCCGACGGGCTATCCCGGTGTGGCTGGTGACGATGGCATAGACGTCTTCTTGGACGTCTCAGGGGGGTTTTCACAAGGGCCTAGTCACTGCTTGCGCTGCTCGGGTGTTGGGCAGACCGACGATCAGATGGCGGGCGATGAAGAAACTCGGAGCATGAGGTCGAGGATCGCCGCGGAGGCAGCCTGGTTTCGGTTACGGGCGGGCTAGCGCTGATGCGTGTTGGACGTTGCATTCACGTCACTCTGGCAGCACCGCACGAAAAGCATCGAGGCTCCAACAGGCGGGCGGGCGAAGAGCAGAGGCATCCGCCGCAGCCACAACGCCTGCGCGTGTTGCCCAACGGAACAGGGAAGCCGCAACCCACCAGGCGAGCCGCTCCTGCCCTGAGGCGGCCTCAACGCTTGCCCGCCTGCCTCGACACTTGCCTGCCTGCCTGCCTGCCTGCCTCGGGTCGCTGGCACGACATTTGGCGTCACTGCGCTGTAAGCTGGCATGCTCCCCTCGTCTGTACCACACCTGTTCCTCTCCCGCCCCGTTGCATGCCCGCCTACACCTCTCACCAGTCTCCCCGGCCTCTGTGGCCTGCTAGCATACCGCCATCCTCAACCACTGACCATATTCCTCTGCCCGTAGACGCTCCCCTCGCCCACGACCCGCCGCGGCTTGCCAGGCACGCGAGCCATCCTGCATACCCCACCCTGCTCCCTCCACCCTCTCCACCCCCGCCGTTGCCCAACCCGACCCTCGACGGCACCATGGCCGCCCGCGCGACCATCACCTTCTCGCAGCCGGGCGTGCAGCCGCCCGTCTATGTCACCACCTCCCTGAACGACTGGACGCTGGTGCAGATGCAGCCCCTGCACGACAAGACGGCGTCGGGCGACCTCATCTTCAGCAGAGAGTTCACTGGCGTCGCTGAAGGCAGCCACCAGTACAAGATCCGCGTCGGCGAGGACCATTGGGTGCTGGACGAGTCGAAAGAAACCGGTATGTCCTTCTACGTCCTCGTCGACTGTCCCGCTGACTCTCCGCAGCTGCCGTCGACCAGGGCATTCGCAACAACCTTGTCCACGTCAAGCCTGCCAGCGAGTGCACCTCCCTGCGCCCAGTGTCCGAAGCTACCACCAACACAGCCGCCCTAGAGACTTCCCCCGGGAATCCCTCAAAGATGCCCGAAGACCGCAAAGACAGTACAATAAACCAGGAGCAGCTAGCTTACGATCAAATCCACTACGCCCATCTGCCTGAACATGTTGCTAAACGCGCTGCCGACTCAGAATCTGACCTTGAGGGCACCAAGGTAGACTCCCCGGTCGAGACAGCAGCTCCGAAAACACCCGAGATTCCTCTTCTGGTAGTCGACAAGACTGACCGTCGGCCTGCATATGGAGATGACTTTGGCGCCGGCGCTACGACCGCCCAAAAGGCTGCGCATGACATGAGAGCCGCGGATTCCCTGCCAGACCAGCTCAATATCGTGCCCGAGTCCCATACGGAGCCAGAGTCTGATGATGGCGAAGCTGCTCCATTGTTTCGCCATGAGTCTTTCCAAGCGGATCATGATCCTCAGATCGCTCCCGCTATAATCATCGACGATGAGTCTGCGCCATCATCGACAGACCAGACTAGTTCCGGAGAGGCCATAGATACACCTTCGGAGCCTGACGACAGTGACGAGTTGCATCTAGCGCCCTTACTTAGCCACGAGACGGGCTTCGAGAATGGCGGAGCGGGGCTGAGCGACGGTCCGCATTTTTCCCATGGAACTGACAACGACGATGACGACGACGATGACGATGATTTCGGTGGAGCTCCTCTCCTTCCTCACGAGACTGGCTTCCATGATGACGGCAGAATTCCAACCGAATCTGAAAATGACGAGGACGAGCTCGACAGGTATCCGTTGCTATCACACGAAAGTGGCTTCTCGGATTACAGGGGAAGCGAGATCGTTACTAAGAGTGATAACTCGGGAATCTCGGAGCCATGTCACTACGGGGCCTACGAGGACGACGAGGATGACTACGCTGAGAATGAAGAGGGCGATGCACCTCTCCTCCCCCATGAACGCGAAGCATCTGCTGTCAGTAGCACTGGGTCTGTCTTTTCAGAGGACGATACCCCCTTTTCTCTGGACAAGCAACCGACTTTTGGTTACGAGACGGACAACGCGAGAGAATTGTTCGGCGGAGCCGGCCGACACGACTTTTTTAGAGGGCGAACAGGAAGCAATCTTCCCCACAGGCTACCACAATCAGATGCGGAAGATCATGACCTGAACGATCCATCGTTGGAACGATTTCCCACTAGCCGTCAATCAATCTTGGAACGTGTAGCGACAATTGGCATGCATCTTCCCGAAGATGAATCCATGCACGAGCGGCCACATTCTCCCCAGCCATCTGTTCTATCTCAAGCGTGCTCCTCTGTCGATCTTGTACCTGTCAAATCGTACACCTCGCTAGCTTCTGTACCTGAAGACGAATTCAGCGACGAAGAGGAGGACCACCATGATCTAGACAGTATGCCATCGCCCGTGTACATCAGTCACAATACTACCCGCATGTCCAGTCCGCCCGCCAGGTTCGTTCGTGACCCATACGCAACCCCACTGCCTGATGAAAGCAAGCAACTTGGGTACGCTGTCGACACCAAACACGACGAGTCGAGTAATCATACCCACGAGTCCAGCGAAGCGGAAAGTGTGGATAAGCATGACGGTGCCAAAGACGTCTCTCGGGCTTCCAATGCTCTGCGAGATGCCATCACCGCATCTGTCAACACCGAGAAACCTGCCATGGATCAAGTTACGTCTGAGCCCAAGGCTACCGCCGCAGGTGCGCACCCTGTAGCCGGTCCGGATTCTGACCTCCGGCAGCGCAGACTACTAGTTGAAGACTCTTCAGAGACATCAGAAGATGCGACAAGCGCAGTGGTAGATGGTGTCAGTATCAAAGACAAGATTGTCGAAGCAGCGAAGCCTGCACTTGCACAGCGACCGAATCATCACAACGAGAACTTTCTTCAGCATTTCTTCCGCGTCATGTTTGGGCCTGTTGGTCACCTCATGACTGCTTGTTTTGGCGATCGGAAGCGAGCTAGGTGAGCGAACACCGTTTCCTTTTCTCCCTGAATCCTTGAGTATGTGGCTTGTGGCGCTCTTGCCTCGTACGAATTCCATCACACAATGACAGTATTGAGAGATGCCATTGCTAACACAAAAGCTTCAGTGCTTCCGCTCTTGTTCTTGGTACTGGTGCAGCGACTTACTATTACGCTGCGAAAGCATCAAGATGAGCTTGTGCCTAGTGCACGATGATCAAGCTTGCGACACCTGGGATTTACATTACGACGAACGCGGAAGGAGCATAGCGATGCGGTATTGGGTTGCCGTGAATTGGACTTTCCTACACCTGCGTTGAGCATAACGAGATTAATGACCCTGGGTTAAAGCATGCGCTTGGGCGCGCTGGCGTTTTATGTAGCATTCTCTCTCCTCTTTCCACCTCGACAACCTCATCTTGCGTCGACAAATAAATCAATGTGTTTGTTTGCTGTACGTGTTTGTTCCGATGAATATCTTGTGTTTGACAGTGAGACCACAACCCAGAGCCAATATCAAGGCGGCAAAATCACTTCCAATTAGCACGTAAATCCATTCTTGATGTAAATGTGCATTGTATCATAGTCTTATTCCTTCTGTGTGTTGCGACACAGCGGTACTACCTAGGTATCTCATATCTCATGGCAAAGGTTTCTTCATGTAAAAACAATGACAAGACTCAAGTCTAGTGAAGAAAACGTCAGCGAGTGTAACACAACCCAACCACCATGCTACCCACTCAGGAAAAGTAGAAGGTAGGTTACACGCGCGGAAACAGGGGAACGAAAACGCGACCGTGACTGTATGTGATTCTTCTCACAGACGCGGCCTGTTTGCTCCACTCGATTGTGCACTCACCGACTTGTTCTTGACATCGTATCGGTCGTTGTTCATAATCTTCTCCCATCCGGCAACAAACTCCTTGACAAACTTGTCCGCGTTGTCGGGTGAGGCGTATGTCTCGGCGACGGCGCGAAGCTCGGGATGCGCACCGAAGACAAGGTCGTGGCGAGTGGCGGTCCACTTCTTCTGGCCGGACTTGCGGTCAACGCCCTCGTACAGCTCCTTACTTGCATCAGTTGCCTTCCACTCGGTGTTGTTGTCGAGGAGGTTGACGAAGAAGTCGTTGGTGAGTTGGCCAGGACGCTTGGTGAAGACGCCGTGAGATGAGCCGTCCCAGTTGGCGTTCAGCGCGCGCATACCACCGGTGAGGACAACCATCTCGGGGGCAGTAAGGCGGAGAAGATGAGCCTTGTCGACGTCGAGTTGCTCGGTGCGGA